CACACACACACACACACACACACACACACACACACACACACACACACACACACACACAGAGATACACGCACGCACACTCACACATTTTTTTAATTGTTGGGTACAACAGTAGACACCAGGCTTTTGGGTCACTATTTTCTAAAAAGGAATATTTTAACCCTTCCATCCCATGAACAACAGCTAAATTGGTTGCTGCTGATGGTGCCAGGGTTTTCTGAGACTCTGGCCATTTAAAATGCTTTGACCCAGCAGCCCCCTAGCCACTCGCCTTCCCAATAAGCAAACGTTCAGAGGCCGCGTCCAGGCCTATACCTTGCTCGAGCTCTCCACATGCAATGGCATGAAGTTCAGATCACGTGGGGGGAGGGCCATCGTGCTCTCCAGTGGCCGGGGGCTGCCAAATTTGCTAGCAAACAGAAATGTTGGCAGCTACTGAAGTTTGTACAAGTACAAGCTCATTGCTCAGACCAAACTCCACAATGAGAGAGAGATTTGCTTGCTCGATCAGTTCCAGAAGCCTTGGTGATTGCGGGACAGTGATGGAGGGGGCCATGATGACGTCTAGAACCAAGGAGCCATGCCCGTTACTCATCTTAACTTAGTTATAGCATGTAAACCCTTGTTTAGCACTGATTCAACCAAATAATGGCAGTAGAGGTTGTCCTGGGATGGAAATGTTTAAATTTTTTGAGTAAGAACAAGACTTAAAATATACTGATTGCTAGTTGTGACCGGAGGTTTAAAAAAAAAAAAATGTTTGTAGTGCATTTTGCTTGTGTAGTTTTAGGTCCTGCTATCTTCTCTTGCTTCTGTCCCATAGTTATTTTTCCCTTTAAAAAAAATGAAAAAGACAAAAAAAAAAAAATTTAATTAAGAAGGTATTCTATGTAGGATTTTTTATTTATTTTGTGATATCAGTTTAAATCACTGTAGAGATGCCCCATAATTAAATTTAAATACTGAGATAAGGGTTTTTGAGTATGACGGGGGACAGTTTTTGATTTTTTTCAAACATTTATCTACCTCACTCTTATTTTTTTATATGTGTATATATATAAAAAAAAAAAAAATACATCTCACATTTCTCAGCAGCCAATAAACGCCGTTAATACTGGTAACCTCTTACTCCACAAACCACACACTCTAGGTTTTGGAGAGGAGCAGTCACTACTTATTGCAGAAGGTCACTTCAGAAGAATTTTTTTTTCCTCCCCTCAGATTATTCCCCATCGCTCCTGCCCCCACCTGTTTTTTGGTAGTATTTTCCCCACTTGGAGATGTATTGGTTTGTAGGGGTGGGATACACCCGAGAGGAGTCTGACTTCCGAGGCCCATTCTTTGAGGAATCTCGGAAGCGATTGACTGCATTGTCACTGCAATCAGAGTTCATCAAAGTGTAATACATCAAGCTTAGCAGAGCCATCGCTGGCTGTTATGTGAGCTCTGAATGATCAGCTTCGTTACAGAAAGTAGTTGTTTACAATATTCAAAGGTCCACGCTGGTTAGACCGAGGTAAACGGCCTTTCTGTTAATCCTATCGAGTGGGCTAAGCCATTCCTGCCAATTTTTCTCAGATGCCACAAGCACCAGAAGGGACATGAGAAGTGATTCATTGCCTAAAAATAAATTGGAGCCTTCTTCCTTGATCAATCCAACCGTGAAAAATAACTTGGGCTACCTGATAGGAACACTAGACTGAGTCGACAACTTTGGATCTTTTACGTTTGCTGCTGCTTTTTGGTGAGAACACTGATTTTTCAAACGTAGGCAAAATCCAACATTTGACCGTGCCAGTATAAATGCAGTCCCTCTCCTCGCATGTCGGCCCCGCAGGTTCTGATGGACCAGCCATCAAATTGCAACTTCCCTCTGACTGTGAGACTGGTTTACAAGCAGTCTGCCATCAACTTGATGTATAATGTTTCTCTTTTTCTGAGTCTGGCAGCTGTTCATGCAGGTGTTGGTTGTGGTATCTGACTAATGTGGTGCTTGGCTACTTTGAGATGTACATGGCCTCTTCAATATGCAGTGCTGCGGTTAAGTACTGCAGAGTTTGTCTTTGGAGGGAACATTTCTGTGTAACCCCAGAAAACCACCAGAAATTCAGACTCCCTGGGTTTTCTTTTGTTTTTGGATTTTCTTAACTTCCCTGTGACCTTCTGGTCTAGTGACCACTCCCCTCTCTTGCACATACTGATTTCCACAACTGGAGATCCTCAGATCTTTCAGCTGGCTATGAGGGTTTTGTTAAAACTGTCCAAGTTATTGGTTTTTAATTGTACGTAGGTGGTTAAAAATTAGGAAAAAACAGTAACGAAGTAGTGCCCATCATAAATAAACATTTCAAAAGCACTTAAATGAAAGGCAGTCATGTGACTAAAAGTATGCATGTGTGATGACAAAGTCAGCTCTCTTGGACCAAACCACCTTATCTTATACCATTGTGTTCACATTTCTAGGCTAATTCCATTTTTGGTTCCCACCGCTTTTTTCTTGTTGTTTTGTGTGTGTGCATTCTGAATAGCTTTATCCACAATGTTCTTCATGTAGAGACCTCCCTTTGACAGTAAATCACATTGTCTATGCATGTGAACACCTGAAAATTTAATGTTGGCTTGATATAGAAATAAAATGGTTTTGCAATGCTGTCTTTTCCTGAGAGACCACTGGCTAGCCTGGTATGGAGAATTTGTTTAGTACTTCAGCTGTGCTTGAATACATTTTTGTTAGTAACCCAATTTGTGTTTAGGATTAAGAACAAGACCACCCAAAACCTGCCCGACCCCCCCCAAACAAGCATTCTGACAAAGGGTACCAAGATATTGTAATACAACACGATAACCAGTTGGCATCACTAAGGGAGCAAGAAGCTTTGATTTCAAGTACTTTGGCCATTCTTCTCACCTGACTTTGTCATTGTTAAACCTTTCCAGTGGTACAGAAGGTGGTTTGGTTGCAAAGGAAGGTGACTTGTGTAAATACAGAATTGTCTCACGCTTGGTACTAGATACGACATTCTTCTGTTGGGATGATAAACTATACGTAGAAACCAAGTCTGATGGAAAACTTGAGGCCAGCTTGTGTTTCCATCAAGCCTCTTTCTCGGTGTGACGCCTCTGTTCTGTAAAGCTGGTTTTAAGTGATGTATGGCTCTAGATACATTCGCACTGATGCTCCTGTTGGTGTTTTAAAAAACAAGTAGCCCAGTTTGCCCAGGATGACTGGTCACCAGATGGAACTGCTCTCGGGTCCTCTGGGAACTGCTGAGGGTTGTTTTAATGCAATCCAAGTCTAAATGAACAACATGCCTATTGGTAGTATAACTTCATTCATATATATGATGTATTTTTTTTTTAAAACCCCTTTTCATTCCATTAGTAAAAGTAACTTTTTTTTCTGTTACTGTTTTATTTTGTTTGTCATAGATGTATTTAATCACTGGGCTAAGCAACAGCAGGGTAAGGTGCGAGAGATCCACTCCTTATTAACCAGTGATAAAAGCCAGATATCACAACTCAACTCCAAGTAGTTGCTGCAGATCAGAGTTATAAAGGAAGGATGGTACGTAGGTTAAACACTAGTGACCAGGGGTGCCGAAGATACAGAACTGTCAATAGACTGGAAGGCTTCAGCTGGTGCCTAAGCTCAGAAAACGGGTTGTTCTGAGACGAGGCACAGTTAAATTACTCCGTGTGGATTTAAGAGCACAACCAGGTCATTGAGAATTTTAAGGGATTAATAGCAAGAGATGCTGAAAAACAAGGGTGGAAAGCGCTATGTATGAAGACACAGGGCTCGGGTTCCCGGAGCTTGGGATGTGGGATGACATCAATGCTCAGGCATAACAGCTCCTAATCATTTGGTACTTGTAAATAAACCTCTTGGCTTCCATCTGTGGTGGTCAGTTCGTTACGCAGAGGTTTACAGATGTTGTCATTGGTTGGCATGAGTTGCAGTGTCTCAACTTTCCATCAGTCTGTTTTGCAAGTACCATGTGACTATCACTAGTTTGTGTGTGTACGCGCATGTGTGCATCTTTTTTTTGTATGTGTTACGTTGATTAGCAACCATTAGCATTTTCAATAGGGCTTTTAAGTCCAGTAGATTACGGGTAGTCAGTTGACAAAGATCTGGTTTACAAGAACTAATTACATGTTTCATTGCATTTTGTAAGTACATAGAATAATTTTATAAAATGTTTGTAGTTTATAAATGCCTAAAATATAATTTAAAGGCACTTTTCTGTGTGTGGGTGTGTCTGATCAGTTTTTTGATGGTACCAGTTTACTAGTTAGCTTTACAATATGCCAAAAAAGATTGTTAAGTTTTTCAACTCACGGTTCATCCCTTTTTTTCTCAAGCATTGTGTCCCAGTGTATAGGAAATGAATAAAGAGGTTGGGGAAGTGTTCTGTATCTTCAGTATCCTGGTCTTCCAGAACCCTCTGGTTTGGGTGGGATCATCTTAACTGGTCATTTCACTTTACTGTACAGTGCAGTTAACTTGATGGATTGCAAGAACCTCACTGGTTATGGAAACAGAATAGGTATTGCTGCTAAGCAGTCTTGGTTGTTGTTCAGGGCTTACTTTATGGTTGCCAGGTGGGTTGAAGAATGTGACTGCGTAAAAAGCATCACGAAAGGCAGTTTTCATAATTATCATTGAATTTAAAAAAAAGTATGTTTACAGATTTCTTATCATTTAAACGATGGTTTTTTGTATGCAACCTACACAGCGCGTATAGATACCTAACACCATTAAAAGTCTTTTGAAACAAACAAGGAAGGTCCCTATTTATTTTTATTTAAGAATACTGAAGATCCCGTTCTCCTTCTGAATTGGATTAAATGTTACACCTTCCACCCCACCTTCTAAAGGGTTAATGATGGTTTAGATGCATTTTAAGAATCAACCTTCTGTTTCTAAGCCAGTGAGGTTTGAGAGGAAAGGATTGGCCAGAGTTTGTCTACCTCTGGGACAAAAAACTAGAAAGCGCAATGGAACTGATGCAGTTGCAAATACAACATTTTCCAAGTTTTCTTGTTTAAAAAGAAAAAACAAAAAAAATTTTTTTTTAAAAAAGAGAAAAAAAAATTAAAACAGTAATAACATGGCCAATTTATTACATAAAAAGACTTGCTGTGTGTAAATTATTCCTAAAGAAATTCCTGTGTTTATATAAAATGAATCAGTAGATGATAAAATTTCAAAACGTTTTTGTATATTCTGTTGTAAGAATTTATTCCTGTTATTGCGATATACTCTGGATTCTTTACATTATGAAAAAAGAAACTTTGTCTATTTTGAATGGCTGAAGCTAAGGCTCCTTTAGTTTCTCTTACTCTGCTTTTTTCTAGTAGTTACAGTACTACATGATTTAAGTTAAATAAAAGAATTCTGTATGCATTTGTCCGTCTTCTGACTTTGTTTGTTATCCCAAACTCGCCCAAAGAAACTATAGTCCCCAAAAATTAAAAATTCTGCCTGTACAGGTCTTCTGCCACACAGGCTGAGTTTCATTTAATTTTTGTTTACAGAAATTCCAGTTAAAGTAAGTACTCCTTTTGCGCAAGGCTAGTCGGCTTTTTTTAAGGCTTCTTTTTATTTAATGTACGTGGTCTCCCTGCTGCAGTTCCAGCTTCTGGACCTTGATCTTTGCTGCTGAGGTCCCAATGGATGGCTGGTGGCTTGAAGTAGGTACAGTGCCAATCTGATGGACGCTCAGCTCAGAGCCATCTTCAGGTGCTGGCAGCGTGTTCACCCACACCTACTCATGAACCACCTGCTTACATTTGGAGAAGGTGGTTACAGGGCAGTGGTTGGGATCTTGATGCCTTTTCATGCCTCTAGACCCATGTTAGCAGGTTTCAGCCAAGGTGTGGCATAGAGGGTGCACTTGAGGCATGATCATGTCCTGGCACTGTGTGAAGTTCAGGTTTCCAAGGTGAAGTGGACACGGTTCCTAATTAGAGCAGATGGTATGTTGGCCTGAAAGAAGCTGTGGAAACGGATTGTATTTTCTGCTACTAGGGCATACAATATAGGGGGCTGTTTTTATTCCAAGCTGTTTTTAGATGAGCAAATGGCAGCCCCAACACAAATTTTTTTTTCTCCTTTACATATGGCTGCATCTCTGCTGTAGACCTTACTGCCTTGAGATTGGATTGCAGAATGCCGTAGCATAGAAGAGGGACGCCTTAATCCTTTGTGAAACTGCAGCTAGAGTAGAATTTGTCACCCTACCTACCTTTACAATTAGGCTATAGGCCACAACAGCATGTGATGCAGCGCTCCATCAACTGCCTTTCCTGGGGCAATTCAGGTTGTCGGTTTTGGACTGATTACGCTGACAAATGACTTGGGACCATCCTACCTGAGAGAGAACGTCTGCCCTGTCATGCTATGTCCACTAGGAGGCTGGGGTAAGTGGCCTTGTGCAGTTTGACTCCAGATTAATCATTGCATTATTCATGTCAAAAGTCTGCTGTGATCCTAATTTGTCACCAACAACTTCACAGTCTACTGTAGATGCAAATAAACAGCATCACTGCAGAAGTGATGCTGTCTTCTCTCCTTGGATAAAACTGCAGCCTTTTCCTCAAAAGCACATAGGGTGACTTGGCCTTTCCAAGGTATTTCTTCTGCAAGTGCATTCCTAAAGTAAAGAACAGACCCAAATGCAGTAAGCCTTTTAAGTGCAGAACAAGGGGATCTACCTTTGGGAGAATAGCGATGGCACTTTGAATGAGGTTAGTAGCTTATTTCACAGTATTTTTCTTAAGTTCCTCAATCCTAAGTGTGCTTTTGGGGAGAGGATTGCAGTTGGCTTGATAACATTCACAAGTGATTTTAAATATCCATATAATGCATGTGACCATCACCCACAAACAGCAGGTTTTTTCCATGTCCATCTCATATGGCTAAATTAGTCTACTAGACTTCAGCCGGAAGGGCAAGGGCAAGAGGGAGCATATTGTGACCATACAAATCGTATATAGTCTTAAATGTGTGCATCAGTGTAGTTTCGTAAGGAAACTATGCCGGCTGCATGATGCCTGCTTGCCTAGTTTTCAAATACCGAGAACAAGCATTCAAAAAAGCTTTTTAAAGCAATTAGTTTCTTGGCTTTTCATTATGATATAAAATATATCTTGGGGAAATGGCAGTTTAGCCATTAGTGCTGCTTTCCTGGTACTGTTAGCTCTAAATTAAATTTAATTTATGGCCACTAGCTAAATAAAGCACCAATCATTTACATTCCTCTAAAAATTATATGTTTTTTCTTTTTTTGTAATTGTATCTTGAAATATCACTACAGAGGATTATTTTACAACCTTTTATATCCTCCAAAATGGTATGCATTTTTTTTACTAAACTCTTCAGGGTTGTCTCAGGTGAGGTACTGTTGTGCAGAACTTGAGTGTCTTCTTGTAAACCCTCCTCCTTGTTCTCTGTTTCTCCCACACTGCTTTAACATCTCTAAAATAATTATTTGTAATACTCTTCCTAGAAAATCTGCTGTTACCGACTTGGATAATGGAGGCACGTGGATAAAAGCTGCTCTTCTATTGCCATAATACAGAGAGGTGTAATAGGTATAATCACAGATGTACCTACAACATTAAAAATAGCTACATTAAGGAAGAATAAACATTAAATTCAATATACTTTAAGCATTCAAACTAGGTCTGGTTTATGAAATAATTCTAGGTTTGGATGGTTTGCCTTGCACCAGGAACTTAATGGTCATTACAAAGAGAGAGAGAGAAACAAACTATCTGGGGTATTGGCTTGATTTGAAGGACAGTCACCCAAAATAAAAGGTCCTATACACACGATCTGCCAAACCACAAACTGAATTGGTTCAGAAAACAACCCAGCCTGCTGCTTTTACACCCACAAAACAGGAGCACTTTTTAAAAGCTTTTTTTATGTACTTGCTGTATAGTATTCCTGCTGGATAAGCTCTTCCCCTTTTACTTACTTATCCCATCTCCTCTGCCGTGGAGACCAACATCCTCAAATTAAGAAATACTGATTTTGACCTTCAAGAATCCTGGACCTTTTTTTTAAAGGTAAAAGAATCTCATTTAAATGTGTGTTTATAAATGTATGTGATACATAATGTATAATATATAATGTAGGATATGTAATACTATATGCACGTATACAATATAGAATTGCTACAAGCACTTTTGTGAAAGTTTTAATTTAATTTGCCTGCTTGG